GATAAAATGCTATGCCCAAGATTACCATCCGAGTGCCGGCGGGGAAGTGGTTCATATAGCCTCGGCTATCACTTCCTTATGTCCGGTCGTGATGGTCAAGCGGATTAAGGCGTCCCTGTACATACCAGTTGTGGGAGTATGGGTTCGAGTCACTTCTGGGGTGTGAGTTTTCAGTTGTATATAGTCCTGGGGACCATTCAGGCTTGTTTGCATATATATATATATATATATATATATATATATATATATATATATATATATATATATATATATATATATATGTGTGTGTGTGTGTGTGTGTGTGTGTGTCAGACCACGAAGGATTAAGACAGGAACTTCCTTAAGTACTTTCGTATTTAATATCTTCAGAAGGATGTATTTCCAGTTCAGTGGGTGTGGATATATGGGCAGGAAAGAGGTGAGGTGAGATACAATGTCTTTAATGAGATAATGGGATATTAATAAAGTATTAGTGAGATAAATAGCAATGATGCTACTTAAATCGCACTTTAACTGATCAATCAAGGGTAAGATTTTTCAACTAGGGGTTTGCAGTCGACCCGACCACACTCTGGCCTACAGTATGGTGTTCACATTCTTATGCCCCCACACATCAGATCACAATGAACCACAATGGCTTTCCCTTCTATTTACCTGGGCTGTAGGAGTCTCAAACTGTGGACTCCATGCGTGAGACTGTGATAGAGCTTTGTCTTATATATGTTTCACAATGGCCTGATATATCAATGAAAATAATTTTGAAGCAATGGAGTATTTGGAATCAGCCTTCTGGTGATTCCCAGACACTTGCCAACTGACTCAGCCAGTATAGTACAAAAGTCAACCAGCCTGGAACTCTACTGAATTCACTGGTTCTACTTATATATATACTCACTATGACCCCTAAGATGATTTGAATCCAGGTCATCACAGGTCTCCCCACCAACAGCACCAGTACCATCACCACTGCATCACACACACACAGGCAAAGAGAGAGAGAGAAATTGATTCTAGCACAAATCTTCCTATATTTGTTATGCTGTTCTTCATTTGGGCAGGAAGTTGAAAAATTAACTCTCTTAAGGTCATTTTACAATTTGTCGTGATAATAAAAGATGCGTAAAGTTCTCAACATCTCCCGAGGCAGCAAGGAAGTAGATATGAGTTAGCGGAAGCAACAATATACAGTATATAACCAAGTAGGATGAAGTGAAGTTAGTCTTTACCCAGCTAAAGTTGGCTGGGATAGTGGGTGAGATGTCAGCTAGGTATTCTGGCTTGGTCTTGAGGATGGTATGATGTACAGAGTAAACTTGCTCTTGAAGGTGTAATGACTGAATCTGATATCTCAATTATTCAGTGCTGTTGGTTGACAACAACGAAAAATCAACAAATACAATGACAATAGATAATTAGACACAGGCAAAGCATATCACACTTATCTTATATGCTATGGATGAAAGAGTGGATTGTTACCAGAAACCATACTGGTGCTCCAATGAAGGTACAAGATCACCAGTGAGAACCAGTCATGCACGTCAAGGACCCTTAATTATTATAAGCAGTCTGGCCTGGTGGTTAGTGTGTGTGTGTGTGTGTGTGTGTGTGTGTGTGTGTGTGTGTGTGTGTGTGTGTGTGTGTGTGTGTGTGTGTGTGTGTGTGTGTGTGTGTGAGAATATATATACTGTACAGTAATTTTCTCTTTTTGTGGTTCTTGGTTGCAATTCAATTTTAAAATATATTGAAGAGGGAGATAGAGGGAAGGGAAGTTAAAAGGGGAAAGTGAAAAAGAAAGAGAGGAGACAAGAGGGGAGGAAGGTATGTATATGCGAGAAAAATACGATCATGACAATGTTTAGTCTATAGAAAGGCTATCTGCCGGGGAAACTTAAAACAGTCCCTAGAGACTATTGATCCATTCTGGGCCAAGAACATCTGGGTTGAAAGACAGAAGATTTCTTTTGCACTCTCTACATGTCTCTAGTTCATCCCGGAAGAAATACAAATGATTGAAAACTTCATCATATACTGTACTAAAAAAATATACATGGAAACTTGATAGGAATGAATAAATGAATTATCAGGGTAAAGCGCCAAGCCATTACGACTATATAGCACTTGGAAGGGGTCCGGATAAGCATTTGGGATGGGACGGGGGGGGGGGGGGGGGAAGGAATGGCACCCAACCACTTGTACGGTCAGGGATTGAATGCCAACCTGCATGAAGCGAGACCCTCGCTCTACTGTCCATCCCAAGTGGCTGGACAAAATTTGATAGGAGAAATGCTGAATTTAAGAACACTTCTACAGCTGATGTCACTTTCAACATCTTGATTGTGAACTCAATTACATACACTGTATTTCTTTTTCTAAGAGTATTTTTTATTTATTAATTTATATATATATAGAGTTCTTACATTCCTGTATAGCCACTAGCACGCGCAGCATTTTGGGCAAGTCCTTAATCCTAATATTCCCTGGAATACAACCCCGCCAAATCATTTAACAACCAGGTACCCATTTTACCATTGGATAAACAGAGGCTACAGTTAATGATTGACACCCAGTAAATCTTACCCGGCCAGGATACGAACCCTGGCCAAAACGCTCGACAAACGCCAGACTTACCGATATGCCACGGAGATATACTTCAGTATGAAGTACAGTACTGTACTGTACTGAATTAGAAACTCTGACTTTTCATATTCTACTATAAAAGTAAAAGATTATTACAATGATTACTTTCACCACTTAATAATATATATCACTATTACTAAGTACTGAACTTGCTTTGCTATAATTACCAATTACTATCACCACTATGACCTAGTTGTCTAACACTGCATATATCTACCCCCATTCTGACATGCTGTGGGTGATGGAGTACATTAGCATACAATGAGCATGATAAAACCCATATAATATTTGTACTGTACCCACTAAACATCACCCATCAATCAGATCCTGTGAAGATCAAGATTCCCTATAAAAGGTGTATTTTTATTAATTAATTTCATGCATTTAATTAAAATACAGTATCCCAACAATTTTGTTTTGTATAAGCACTTACCTTGCAAGAAAATTTGCTCTAGTATTTCTGCACTGCACAAAATCAAAGAAACATAGTAGAAACATGATGAAAAAAACATGGGGGGAAAAAAATGCCTAAAAACTTCCTACTGTCACTATGACAAAAAGAAACAGGTGGGACACATACAAACAATGCAGCCACCTGTCCACTATACAAATGATGATAAAGGGAAGAGGGTATGAGAAGAGGGTTAAGGAAGAAGAGGAAATTTGGCCAGGAATACAGGCAATAAAATAAAAGTGAATGCTATACACTGAAAGCCTCCTTAACAAACATGCTGCAACCCTTTCAGAAAATGCAACCGAGGTTAGGAAAAGAAATGGTAACCATCATGCTGCATCACATCAAACTCCACCAAGTCTCTTTATGTAATTATGTTGTCAAGAAAAACAAGGTTAATACAGTATTGCACATAATAAGCTACCAAACAGATAGTTTTAGTTCTAAGTTGATACATGTTCATTTAAACCAATATATTATTAAATACTCTATATTTATACCCAAGCAATACAGAACTAGTAATGACCAAGGTACTTGATGTCATTATTTTGAAGTGCAAATAAATATTTTACAACATACACAACATGAAATAATTGACCAAGTTATTTTATATGTGTGTATATGTTTAATCTCCTTTAGGGAATTGGAAAAAAAAAAAAATAGCAGGATGAAAAATAACAGATAGAGCCATTGGCTACAATATTGATATCAGTTAAGTTTATTTAATATACTGTATTTATATTATTTATTCAAGGTGAAAAGAAAGTATACAAAGGAAATTTAAATTATTGTATTCACTATCACTATTCAATAAAGAAGTATTAAATCACTTTAATAATAATGTACTCACTATTTAATAATGAAGATTACTAAAGGCTCATATTGGAAATACAGTAAAAAAATCAAAATAGAAAAAAGTAACTGACAAAAATGGACAATTAATTGGCTAAATTAAAAAAAACATCTACAGTAGATGAATGCTAATATATAATTTTTTTAAGACACTCATTATACTCTAGTCACACTACAGAAAATATAAATAAATATGGAAAAATAAATAAGTACTGTATACAGTTCAGTACATAGACCTTTATATAACACATTTTTGACAAAGTATTTTTACAAATATTTAAACTGAATAAACTATTTCAACATAACAATCACTGAAAACTCACCTCCTCACTCTAGTAAAGATAACCAAGGATTCGGCCTCTTTCCCAGCTCACACACACCCTTCCACCCACTGAAACACACTCCCTTCCACCCAATGAAACACATACCCTCCAAAGGCAAGAGCACTGGTCTAGTACACCAGAGGCCAGGAGTTCGATAATCCCAGGAGGCACTGTGGTGCCTAAATGACTACAGTTGTTTATGTTTACACACACATAACACAGCCATAACACACACCCTTCCACATAGATAACACACATAACACAGCCACCAGCGCCGGTGCCACGTAATCCTGTGGCCCGGGTTCGATTCCTGGCACCGGCGAGAAACAAAAATGGGCAGAGTTTCTTTCAGCCTGATGCCCCTGTTACCTAGCAGTAAATAGGTACCTGGAAGTCACACAACTGTTACAGGCTGCTTTGTGTGTGTGTGTGAAAAAAAAATTAGTTAGTAGTTAGTAACAGTCGATTGATTGATGGTCGAGAGGCAGGCCGAAAGAGCAGAGCTCAACCCCCGCAAGCACAACTAGGTGAATACATACACACACACATATTATTAGGCCATACGAGGCTAGGGGTTACATCCAGAGATTATGGTTATAATAGGACCTGGCTTTATATGCAGTAATGAAGTAATATATTGAATTGTTAGAATGAACAGCTTTTTAACCCATTATCATTAAATTAGCATGTTAAAACTACATCTAGATAAATGTTGAAAGAAATATAAACAACTGTAAGGTTCATGTACTTTTAATAGCAATTTTTTCTTGCAATTATTTCACACAAAATCCCACCAAATGCATTTACCTATATGCAGATTAATAAAATAAAAATAATAATTCAACATATAACCTCATTACCGAAATAGGTATCACATCGTCCAATTATCAGGGTAAGCGACGTTCTCCCTAAGCCAATGACTAAACTTTCCCAAGATGCAACCCACAACAGTTCCCAAATTCCCTGGTACCTGTACTTACTTCCCTGGTATTTGCAGTAAGGAAACATGCCCAAAAATGTTGTTGTGCTCAAGAATCTAACCCAGGGCTTCCCTGCACTGATCACTGAGCTGTGACATCTGGGAACATAACCCTAGATTTCCAAATGTTATATAGAATACTGTATTTCTATATAACACAATGACTTCAAGGAACACAACTACAGTGTTATATAAGGGTTGACTGTATGTATTTGCATATGTACAGTATATTTATAAATTTAATCGACAAATAAAAATATAAATAGCAGAATTTGGCTTTTGTTTTATTAGCAAGTGAAGACAGTTATTAATTTATCAATCCACACTTTTTGTATACACATAAGAGCTAAACAAATTAACATTATTTCTAACTTCCTAAATAAAACTGCAATCATTTATCTATTTTATTTTCAGTATCAAGAGTCTCTGGGTCTCTTGCTGCCTCATGTAACTCAAACAACTGATAAATCTGAACATCACTAAATTTAGCTAAATCTCCTTCATTTAATGGTGCGCCAATAACTTTTGCAGTGTGAGTGCCGCGTATTCCTAATTGCTTAGCTATAGTGACTGCATAGTTTGTCCACTCTGACATGAATATCTGAGCTTGTTCTGGAGTTGCTTCTTTGTGTCGTCGAAATTCATCACGAGCATACTGGTCACCTACAGAGCATCATAAAATCAATTTAATTACTGTGCTTTCTATCATTTACATACTCATAGTTTTCAAACTGAGCAGAATTTATAATCATTTCAACTTCATATTTCATGAACTTAATTTAAAAATTCTTACTCTTCACTCTTCCTCATCAAGTATATTTGTCATTAACACTTCAACTGCATGACAGAACCAGGGATATTCTTGGCAAGTATCTGCAAACTGCGCGACACAATCAGGGATGCTTTAAAGTACCGCGTAAGATTTAAAAGTCCATTGCATAAACGGAGCAACCATATGCTACCCAGGGGCGATTGTAATCAACCGCCATATTGAAAAAATCCAGGTAAGCTGAATTGGTGGAAAGCCCTTGTATCAAGTGACCATGGCAGACATATGACTCTCCACTCCCCAATGCCATCCTGTGGCTCACTTCACAGAACTGTTTACGGAAGAAGAAATTCAGACGAAATTGATGGAAACTGATGAGTAAGTGACCTTGATGATTCGGATACAGGTAAAAATTATACATATGGCTCAGAACGAAGTGATACAGACAGTAACGTTAACACATGTGTCCATCCCAAGGCCCAGGCCTACACCATCACTACTCCCAGCATGACCCACACTCCACACCAACATTCCCACCACGAGACAGGCCATGTGGATCTGTGCAACATGCTGTTGCTTTACGCCGTGAATATGCATTGGATTATTCATTTTCCAGATTAGTGACGGAATCTGATAGTAGTTTTAGGAGTGCTATGGCTAGTGGTAGCAGCAGTGTATTTGGTGTTACCAGGCATAGCTCTGCTAAGTCAATTGCTACACCTGAACAGCAGGTGTATTCTCACGTGAGAGATTGTACACACAAATCCTTACATTTGATGATACAGATGCAGGGGGTTACAAACATTACCCCATATACTAGTGAGGGAAATGGTGTATCTTATGACATATATACTTGTGATGAGCCACTCATGGAATATATTGTTCAGGAAACAAACATTCTCACTGTGGCACAAAATTCTACAAATAAGTGATCTGGAGTTAATGATGTTGAGCTTAAGTTTCCGTAGCATAGTAAATATTATAGAGAACAAAATTACATTGAAACTGAGGAGGCTAACCCAAGATCATTTTCACTTTTGATTTTGATTTTTTTAAACAATCCATATATTATGATACCCTTTAATATAAAATATTAAATTTCTATAAAAATACATGGAAATCTTCTCATACCTAGAGCCCTCAATTCCAAAGGCAGGCCACGATGTAGCTTAAGGACAGTTTTATACAAGACTCGTACACGCTGCAGATGAGTGAAATTCTGAACTGCTCTTCCCCTTACCATTTCTGCCCTGAAAATGCATAATTACACATATATAGTATATTGATTATAATGTACAGTATTATGTATTACATATGTGATTTTGAGATATATACAAGAGTTGTTACATTCTTGTACAGCCACTAGTACGCGTAGCGTTTCGGGCAGGTCCCTGGAATACGATCCCCTGCCGCGAAGAATCGTTTTTTCATCCAAGTACACATTTTACTGTTGCGTTAAACAGAGGCTACAGTTAAGGAAATGCGCCCAGTAAATCCTCCCCGGCCAGGATACGAACCCATGACATAGCGCTCGCGGAACGCCAGGCGAGTGTCTTACCACTACACCACGGAGACTAGTCCTTAAAAAATTAATTAAATTAGTTAATTAATAAAAATAATTAATTAATAAAAATAAAATAATTAATTAAAAAAGATTAAATTAGTCCTTAGAAAAATCATTAATGTACGAGTTAATCTCAATACCTAACGGTAAAATTAGGAAGTAATTTTGTTTCCAGGTGATCTTTAGATGCAAAACTATCACTTCAAACAACTTCATATCTGAGATAGCAAAATTAAAGGCAATTGCAAAATATTGTTCACTATATAAACCTTACCTTATGTATATCAGCAACAGAACCTTTGGTGCTTGGAAAACAACGTCGCTAATGACACCGCGAATCACCAGCTCAAGTTACCACTCAATGCCTGCAATTCGTCTCACAACAGCACCACGAAATCTCACAGCCGACTGTGTAAACAAAGCTACAGAAACGATGGCAGTAATCCGGATCGTGCACAGGAACGCTCAGCTAGCCTCTGTCATCCTGTTCGGGGACTGGTCAAGTCGTATACTGCAATTTCGGATACCGGGCTAGAAATAACTTCGTTCACTGAGAAGTTTGTACATACAAACCATTCCGTTCGTATATGCGCTGGTTTGTGTTCGCTGTTGTTCTCGTCTGAATAAATACATGGCACTTGTTCATATAATTAGCGCTTCCATTATTAGAATTATTTATCCATTATTAGAATAACAAGGTGCAAACCATATCCCCTTACAGTTGAAATCTATTTATTTATATACAAGAAGGTACATTGGGTTGCGAGAGTACATAACATTTATTAAGAGGTACATTGTAGCAAGATTAACATGGGCGACCCTTTTGGAAACGCATAGAAATGCAACACTTGGGTTGACCCGATTGACAGACTGGTTATATTCCAACAGGGTCTGAGACATTTACACTGGCGGGCGGCGTTCTTGCCAACTATATGGCTGTTAAGTGGAAAATTGTAACTGTTAAGAGCATTCTATTGTGGTTTTAATATTGAACAATTATACATATACGAAACAGACAAATCTGGTATCCGAAATAGTAAAAATATTAGTGTGCGATGTGATCAATGTAAGGGGGATATTGGGTGTGCCTCGTATCCCCTACAACAACAAGAAGTTCGAGAGCGATGAGGCCGCCACCTACTAGCTTCAGGATGTCGTCGAATCTAAATCAACAATATACTACCGCCGCTACTTTCTCGGAAACGTAAGTACCTGCCGCTTTACTTCTCTCACCCTGCCTAGCCTGGCCTGGCCTGGCCTGGCCTAGCCAGACCTGACCAGACCTGACCAGACCTGACCAGACCTGACCAGACCTGACCTGGCCTTACCTTACCTTAGACCTGTACCTTGCCTATTATTACCTAGCCTAGTCTGACCTGGCCTAGTCTGACCTGACCTGGCCTAGCCTTACCCAACACTAATCACCACACGTGACAGCCCAAACGAATCGCAAATAAGTACACATAACAAGTCATATGCCCGGACACTCTTTCACCTTGGGGACTGAGTGGTAACTATTGTATAGAAGAGCCGGCTCCCTGAGAGTGGTAAGAGGGCGTGATAAGAGGCTAACGTGTGGTCTTGAAGGAAGTCGATAAAGCAGACAATTTTCAAAAGGAAGGGCAGCATAACGAGCAGACAGGAATGGACAGACAGTCGGTTATCCCATAATGTGTAATACGCCCCGCACAGCATGGGTGGAGTGGGGGGGGGGGGTTGTAGCAGGGCACAGTATGGTGATGGTGCGGGTGAAGTACACACCCACTGAATTCCTGCCATCAATAATTGTTTTCATAACCATTAGAACAATGGCATCCCTCCAGCCACCATCCTTCCACTGACCCCCTCCTCTGGTCCTCCACCTCAGACAATAACCCCCCACACCCCCTCTCCCTTCCAGACATCAGCATGTCAAAATCAGTACCATAATGTGTTTAAACTATTTAAACTAAGTCATTGTGTATCTCAAGGTATCTTAATTCATTTGAAAGTGTACATGTGCATTCGTTCATATACTCGCCTAATTGTGCTTGCTGGGGTTGAGCTCTGGCTCTTTAGTTCCACCTCTCAACCGTCAATCAACAGGTGTACAGGTTTCTGAGCCTATTGGGCTCTATCATATCTACACTTGAACCTGTGTATGGAGTCAGCCTCCACCACATCACTTACTAATGCATTCCATTAGATATAATCATATATGATTACACATAATCATAATCATTCCATACACATAATCATATATGTGTACGTCAACGTATACATACATGCGTATATATACCTCATATTAAAATACTGATAAACGAATGACCATGAACAAATTAATTTATAATTGTAGCATTATATATAATTTTAATAGACTAATTACGTGTTTATACATTTGAATGGTCCAGACAGGTGGCCAGCCTTGGACATATACACTTCTGGTAGGCACAATGACCTCATGTTAGACCCTTGATAGATTATGTGAGAGAGAGAGAGAGCTGGGGCAGGGAGGTGCGTGCCCCAGGGAGATAATCCATGCCCATGCCCCGCCTCGAGGTCAGTTCTCGAGTCACACCAAGAATAACAATCGAGCAAGTTGTCCTGACCAGGATGTGGCATATTAGGGAGGGTTGAGGAATAGGAAGCCTGTCTGATAGGGCTCTTGGCAAGCAGCTCTCCCTCAGTCTACCTATCTATATGGAAGAAATGTATCTAGGCCCTCCTCCCCCCTGCCTATTCTCTCTCCCCCACCTTTCTTCCTTCATTTCCTCCCTCCTTCCCTCCCCCTCACTGGTGAGAGAGTAGGAGTGTGAGAGTGGTTAGAGAACTCGTAGTTCTCACGCTCGTGAAATTGTCTGCGACCCTGGAGGAGTAGAGCGGAGGGGGGGGGTGAAAGTAGGTGACGATGGAGGAGTAGAGGGGAGCATTATATGCAGTGAACGTAGGTGTCTATGGAAGAGTACATCATAGAGGAGGGTGAAAGGAAGGTGACGATGGAGGAGGAGAAGGGAGGGGGTGTGAAGGTAGGTGATGATGGAGGAGTAGAGGGGAGGAGGGGGGCAAAGGTAGGTGTCTATGGAAGAGTACATCATAGAGGGGGGTGAAGGTAGGTGGCGATGGAGTAGAGCAAAAGGGGTGGGGGTTGAAAGTAATCCTGAGTTTAATTTTTTAGTTATATATAGTGACACCTCGGCTTACGAATGAATATTTATGAACTTTTCGGGTTACGAGCCTAATTTCTTCGAAAAATTTGAATCGGGTTACAAACTTTGCCTCGGGAAAGGAGTTTGTTGATATACGTATGGGCTGACCTAGCGCGTGGTGGCATGGTGATCGCGCCTCAGTTTACCAGTGTCTCCTGCCTAGTAAGTATCGCGCCTGAATTCTTTGTAAAGCATTACATTTGTTTTGGGATTTTTGGCTATTTGAACATAAAATTTGTTATGATATATCTTGCCATGAGTCCCAAGAAAGCCAGTGGTAAGGTTCAAGCCAAGAAAACACATGTGAGAATGACCATAGAGGAAAAACAAGAGAGCATTCATAAACATCAAAATGGTGCACAGGTTGTTGAACTAGCTAGGCAGTACAACAAATCTATGTCAACAATATGCACTGTACTTGCTAAGAAAAAGGACATTATGAGCATTAAAGTGGCAAAAGGCATATCAACAATCCCGAAACAAAGAACACAAACACTTGAGGATGTTAAAAAGTTTTTATTAATTTGGATACACAACAAGGAGTTAGCAGGTGATAGCATTTCAGAGGCCATCATTTGTGAGAAACCAAGGCATTTGCATGAAGACCTTTTAAAGAAAACCCCTGGAACGAGGGGGGGGGGGGAAAGATGAATCAAGTTTGAAAATGTGAAAAGTTTGTGTGACAATAGAGCCTCGTGGAAAACTTTTGCTGTGGTCATTACCTGGTGGAATGCACCCAGGATGGAGTATTAGGGCTATACATCTTTTAAATCATAAAAGTAATAAACATTTCCCATCAACCTTACAAACAATATTAACCTATTTTCATGTATTTCCCCCATGTGCATTTTAACAAAGTTGCTAAATTGCCTTTATCATTCTGTAAAATTTCAATTACAGTACTGTATGTATAATTTTGTTAGTATAAATGGACTGAATATTCTGAAATTGCTATTAATTTTACAATTTCAGATTCAAAGGTGGTCTGGACACCCAATTTGGTCAGACAGGTGAAGAGAGCATTTAGGATAGTTCGAAGAGATGAAGATGGTCGCAATTGTGTTCGAAGAGGCAAACGCCCCCCTTTGCTCCTGACATTATGTTCAACCATTGACCTCTGCACACCTAACACAAGGTAGGTTGAAAACTCCTCCTTCATGTCATTGGTACATTAGCCAGAAACTCAGGGCTCATGTAGGAATATCCCTAAAAAAAAAAAAGTGGCCCCAACAATGCATCCTCCAAGTCTGGAGGATGAGCAGGAGCATTGTCGAGAAGCAGGACCTTGAGTGTCAAACTTTTCTCTTGCAGATATTTTTTGATGGCAGGGCAAACCACTCCACATCACAGTTTTTCTGCACGTTATATATTTTTTAAAACTCTTGGATTTTCGGAATGATACACGAGCAAGGGTTTAATTTTCAAATCGCCACACAGCACAAGAGTTAGCCTATCCTGACACAAGTTAGCCCAAGTTAGCTTGTGTCCGGGCAGTGACGTCTCCTCTTGGGTAATGTATGTCCTCTTCGGCAATTTTTTCCAGAATAGCTATGTCTCCTCACAATTAAACACTTGTTGTGGAATGTATCCATCAATACAGCACAGTGTATCTACAAAATTTTAATTTTTTACTTATATATAGTGTCACCTCGGCTTACGAATGAATATTTATGAACTTTTCGGGTTACGAGCCTAATTTCTTCGAAAAATTTGAATCGGGTTACAAACTTTGCCTCGGGAAATGAGTTTGTTGATATGCGTATGGGCTGACCTAGCGCGTGGTGGCATGGTGATCGCACCTCAGTTTACCAGTGTCTCCTGCCTAGTAACTATCGCGCCTGAATTCTTTATAAAGCATTACATTTGTTTTGGGATTTTTGGCTATTTGAACATAAAATTTGTTATTATATATCTTGCCATGAGTCCCAAGAAAGCCAGTGGTAAGGTTCAAGCCAAGAAAACACATGTGAGAATGACCATAGAGGAAAAACAAGAGAGCATTCATAAACGTCAAAACGGTGCACAGGTTGTTGAACTAGCTAGGCAGTACAACAAATCTATGTCAACAATATGCACTATACTTGCTAAGAAAAAGGACATTATGAGCGTTAAAGTGGCAAAAGGCATATCAACAATCCCGAAACAAAGAACACAAACACTTGAGGATGTTGAAAAGTTTTTATTAATTTGGATACACAACAAAGAGTTAGCAGGTGATAGCATTTCAGAGGCCATCATTTGTGAGAAACCAAGGCATTTGCATGAAGACCTTTTAAAGAAAACCCCTGGAACGAGGGG